TGACATTTTCATAAATTTCAGATATTGAATATTATACACATTATTCATTTTGATCCAATTACCAGAAAGCCTAGTATTCGAGATAAATAGTAACTGTAATAGTAATAGTTCTTCTAGATAAATTGACTAGTGAAAGATGGGATAAATCAGAGCAGAAACCATGCATATTCACCATGTCTGATGATAATGATGAAATGAGAACGAATTTGTTTCCAACAGCATGTTTCCTGTCTTTAACAGAAGTCATAATGGAAAGATCCTCTATGAAAGTGATGAACACAGTCAGTGTGGGAAAAGCTTCAGCCATGTTCCAGATCTGGCTGTGGTACAGAGGAACCCTCCGGAGGTCAGTCCTTTTCAATCCTGTGTGTGGGGAACTGCCTTCATGGAGGAGTCATCACCTGCATGTCACACCAGATCGCCCTTCACAGGCAACACCTGTCACTGTATGGAATGTGGAGCAGCCTGCAGTTATCCCTCTCAACGAACCACTCCTGTGAAAACTCTTCAGGGAAGGAAGCCCCAGAAGATTAATGTACACAGGAAGGATTTTTGCATGTCAACCCTTAAGTTTCCTGTGACAGTATCCACTGGTGAGAAGTGCTATGAATGTAAGAAATATGAGAAGCATTTCTGTAGTTTCTCATCCTTTTGTACACATGCGAGAAATCATAAATATGAGTGTGAAACATGTTGTAAAATCAGTAGTCATCCAACATCCCTGATGTCTCACCCGAAATGTCATAAGACAGATAAGGATTATGAATGTAAGGAATGTGGGAGAGCATTTAGTAACCTTCCAGACCTCTCTAGACATGATAGCATTCACAGAGGAGAGATGCCCTATGAATGTAAGGTGTGTGAGAATGCATTGAGTCTGTCCTCAACCCTTTCTACACATAGGGAAATTAACAGTGGAGAGAGGCCCTATGAAAGCCAGGAATGTGGAAAATCACTTAGTCAGTCTTCAAACCTTTCTGTACATAAACAATTTCACAGTGGAAGGAGGCCCTATGAATGTAAGGAATGTGGGAAAGCATTTAGCCAGGCCTCATACCTCTTACAACATAAAAGCATTCACAATGGACAGAGGCCCTATCAATGTAACGAATGTGGGAAAGCATTTAGTAAGCTTTTTGTCCTCACTAGACATAAAAGAATTCACAGTGGAGAGCAGCCTTATGAATGTAAGGAATGTGGGAAGGCATTTAGTCACTCTGCACACCTCTCTAGACATAAAAGAGTTCACAGTGGAGAGAGGCCCTATGAATGTAAGGAATGTGGGAAGGCATTTAGT